CAGAGGTAAATTTCAAATATACTCCCAGATAATGAAAACAAAATACAGATTTGTTTTAGGTGTCTCTCACTTGGCTGTTGCTCACATTTGTTCTGTAGGAACTTTTAAATCTAGTTATCTTTCTCCAGGTATGTTCCCCATCCTGGGTTAGACAAGGAATACAGGATAAGCCAACACAGAAATCTGTTCACAACATTTCCAATGGACACCAGAAAGACCTGGTGAAACCTTCATTTCTGTGGTGGGACTGGCTCTCTGCAGAATGCTATTTGCTGATGCCACTTTATCAATCACCCCTTTGCACGAATGCAAAGAACTGAGCCTTTAATGCATCAAAAGGTGACAGCAGCCCTCAGTTTCAGGCACCTTATTCCACAAGAAAAGGGTTTCTGTAGCTGCAGATAAGCAGGCACATATTTGTCAGGGAGCTGGTGGAGGTTTTAGCATTTTCCATCCTGCTAAAGCAGCAGTAGAAGCCATATGTATTTCCATGTCACATAGCAGAGCTGCAGCTGCACAGACTGCCCAGACAGATGAGGAGTGCATCTGCCTGTGGCTGAGCACACCGCACCATTCATGTGAACACACAAACTTGAAGTGTTTAGCCTGGCACATACTGAGCAAAAAATCAAGTTGGATAGCACATGCCACAGCTGGACATTCTCTCTTTTTTGGCCAAAATATAAGGGCTTCTAAGCAGAGGTATTTTGAGCATTCACAGTCAACTGAGTTATGAGTTGGAAAAGCATCAGCCATGCTGCTATCCAGTACATGCCCTTCTTTTCTTTCCTAGTTAATACATTTTTACTCCTCTGCAGCTTTCCGGGCACATACTGTACCTTGTGATGACATGGGAGAACAAGGCCTTTAAGTTCTTCATTAATTGTTACTTCTATATTTTTAAAAGGAGCTATTTAGGAAATTCTAGCTTTTGTTACCATAGGAATGAAGCCGTAGGATTCAATAGAAGAACAATTTAAATAGCAATGCTTAAGTAATTCACATCAGTTTTAATTCTCCGCTCCCTCCAAGCTCCTCTTGGACATAAAGAAAAGAGCTTAAAAAGCTCTTTCCCTCTCAGTGCCACTTAATTGTAGCTCAAATGGGGAGAAGATACCCTGTTATACATAGCAGAGCTTAGCAGTGCCCCTTTCCCCCATGGGGCTCTGCTCCCTCTTCCTGAGTGAAGCAGCAGCAAAGGGCTCCTTGGCTCAGACAGAGTTCCTCATCTGCTCTTTTCAACTCATTTAAAGCAACTTTTAAGCAACATTTAAAAACTGGGAGAATGAAGCATCCAGTGTAAGAGTGGGTTGAGCTGGAATGCTTGTACCTGGTGAACTTGACCAGGAGAAACCCAAGTTGATTTACAGCTTAGTGTAATTCTGATCTAACTCCCTTAACAGAACACTCTTAGTCGCCCTTCTGAATTGGTTTATTCCTCTGTTTTATTTGAAAGGTTTAGGTCTACATTAAATACAAAAGCAGGTTGGCTCAGTTGATCAGTTAATTCTGCTGGCCTTCTGCTGACAGCAGGGAGGCAATGAAAAGAAGGAGAACAGTAAATGCTGACACTCGGACTTGCTGTTCCCTGGTTTGTTTTCAAAACCTTTGAACTATGGAAACTTGATAAGAAACAAGAAAGTAGAGAAAAGGTTTGTTTTCCTTGGCTTTAACTTCAGGATTCATTCTTTAGGATGCTCTCACTCCTCTGACTTGTGAACAGCATTCTGGTTGGGAACATTGGGTTAGCAGCTCCCTCCTGGGTGAAAGAGTTGGATTAATTGAAAGGGAGTGCTCAGCAAAACAAGGAGCCTTGCACCTTATAAACAGATGGGTAGCATTAATAACAAGATTAGGATGTTCACTGCCTCTCAGTATGGGTAACAACTGAACTGACATTTGTGGTGCATGAAGGAGAGTTATAATTCTCCATATGCCCCATCCCAGCACAATACTTATTTCATCATAACTGCTTTGATTCGCTGATTCAAAGTCCTACTCTGGAACTGGGAAAGGAATTACAGTACGTGTTTGTAACTTCTCAGATGCTGTGAAGTGGTGAAGCCACTTACAGATTAAGGACCAAATGCCTGGCTCTTCCTCAGCAAGCAAAGATGAGCCAAGAAAACAGGCCAGCAACCATATTTTGGCATGACTATCCGGCAATTACAGTGACCTTATTTATCACCCAATGTCTCCTTTTCGTTAGTCTCCTTTTCATCATACATAACCAGTCTGGTCCAGTGTCTTGCATTCTTGCTTCTAGAGTCTGGTTTATCTTTCAGCTGTCTGGCCAAGCCAATGCTACTAACCTATGGCCACAGGACACTGTCTCTACAATGCATTACAAACTACTGTCATTGATAGGAAATTACATGGGGACTCTAAAAAAAGACATTAATATAGTAGGATACTTAGCTGCCACACACAGCTATCTGGAGACTACTTAGCGTCCAGCTCTGCTTTCAACAAAGGTCTAACAGCTTCCACGTTGCTACTGTTGGCTACAACCAAATAGGTACTTTCAGACACCACCACTGCCAGCCCCCCGCTTACTCCTCTGGAATTGGCTCAGTTGTTTAAACTGGATCCTTTTATGGGAACATACAAGAGAGTTTTTCATAGATGGAAATTCTGGGATGCAGTTGCTGCTCTGTAGGGGTGCCTGATAATGCTCCAGAGCCTCCCCACCCCCTTAAATTCACCTTTGTTGTGCTGCCCACATATTTATGCCTTCATTTCCACACAGCTTCACATGCGTGGTCACAATCAAAAAGAGGAGACCTTAGTCATATTTTATGTAACACCTCCCTGCATCTCAAAGGAAAAGAGAGAAAGAAAAAAAAAAAAGTGAAAAGGGACTCTGAAACTAGGATGTTTAATAGATTTGCAATAAAAACAATCTCCCACTCAGTTCCAGGACTACATGAAAACATTTCTAACATAAAATCCTAGTTTAGTGAAATCTATTAAAAAAAAAAAAAAAGGATACAACAGATAAAAATGAAAAATTTTTGCTGATCATCTGCTGGTGAGGCATTTTAACCTAATTGGCAGCTTTACATTCTTAAATATAAGCTCTCAGATGGCTAGGGTTATCAGAGCACAAGTCTTAGGAAGAGTGGCTGAGAGAACTGGGATTTAGTCTGGAGAAGGGGAGGCTCAGGGGAGACCTCATTGCTCCATATAATTCCCTGAAAGGAGGTTGTGGCAAAGTGGGGGTTGACCTCTTCTCCCAGGTAACAGCAACTGGACAAGAGGGAATGGCCTCAAGTTGCACCAGGGGAGGTTCAGGTTGGATATCAGAAACAATTTCTTTTCACAAAGAGTGATGTTGCACTGGAAGAGGCTGCCCAGGGAGGTGGTGTTCATCCCTGGAGGTGTTCAAGAAACACACAGATGTTGTACTAAGGGACATGGTTTAGTGGGCAATATTGATGGTAGGTGGACGGTTGAACTAGATGACCTCAGTGGTTATTTCCAACCTTAATGATTCTGTGATTCTATAATCAGGGTGTGGGGACATTTTTAGTATTTCGGTTTTCCTGAAAATGTTTCAAGGTCCCCATGCATTGCTTTGAATCCACCCAAAAGACCGGACAACGACTGAAACCATCAACCAAGTACAAAGTGAACCAAAGGAACCGCTAAAGTTACTTGCAAAACTTGGAGGGAGCAGCAAAATACAGCACCAGATTTATTAAAGTGTTTCCAGTTCATAAAGTATGTGGGAAGAAGGTGTGGCAGGGGTGAGAGCAACAGGAGAGAAGGCACAGTTTAAACGTATCCCAGTGTATTAATAGCATTCCCTCAGGTATTTTATTCAAACAGGTAGAATTTAATCTGTGCTGGCTTTGTTTAAGTGGTGTAATCTCTAATGACCTTTGCCTCATATACGCCTTTTTTCCTGAAGGCTGACAGAACTCCTTCACTGGTAGCATTCTGCTAAAAGACTTTCGGGGTAAACATACTTTCATAAACTGTTTCCCAACTTAACTAAACCATAAGAGCAGCTTGTGGGACACAACCTCGACGCTTCCAACATAAAAGTGACCTTGGGGAAATGGAGCTGGCTGACAGCAGTTGGGAGTCAGCCTAATGCTCTTAAAAGTAGGTCCTACTCCTGGCTTCTCTCGTGCAGGTTTCTCTCATATAAGCAACACCTTACAATTCCCAAGCTGACACAGGAGCATGAGTGGCCTGAATCTTCCTATTTTTTCATCCTTGTGGTGCAGGGACACGTGAGAGTGGTCCTTGAGCTGCCAAGTTAATGCAACACCATCAAACTGCTTGAGGAAGCATGCAGCCCTAGCACTGCGCTCATTTATCTCACCGAGGAAAAGCTGTCTACAGAAAAGGATTTTTCACATTTATGCCTCCCCCTTGTGTTTCTACAATATGAACTTTCCAGGCTTTGCTTATTTCTCAAATGGTCTCTCTCAAAGCAAACTTAACACATTACATTTCTTGATTTCCTGGTAAATATATAAATCCAAGAGTACTCTGAAAATAAAGATCCTTTGAAGTGCCAAACTGGAAATGCTCCATTGAAATCAACACAAATTACAGCAATAAACACCTATCAGAAGCCATCCAACACTTAACAGAGAATCTGATCTTGGACAGATTGCAATATAAATAATGTAAATAAAAAACATAAAACCTTAATCTAGCACAGGTTTTGAAGGGACAACTTGAATAATACTAATTCCCTCTGTTCCTGTGGAAAAGAGGAATCTTGCCTTAATGAGAAACAGGATGGAGCTGGGGTGTGAAGTTTTCGATTTTCTATCTTAAAGCAATAAAAGTACTTTAATTTTGGAGAACCTAGAGACGGTAGTGTAAAAAGCAAGGGAGAGAAGCCCTGGCCTTATCCTGCCCTCTCTGACAAGAGTAAGTTCACAGCTGTCCTACTGCACAAAGAGTTTGCACGGCGCCACGCAGAGGGAGCAAAAAGTTACCTGCTGACAAGCAGAAGAAAAAGCAGATAGCAGACATACCTGACTTGCCCACGCCAGCTCGACCAAAGATTGCCAGCTTCACTTCTGCGCTCTTAGCCATGCTGGAGGAACAGTGTGTCAACAAATTCACTTGATGATCAAAACTGAAGCAGAAGCAGCGTTCCCCAGATCCTGTCTTCGGCTTCACCGTGTCATCGTGACGTCAGTGCAGAGCCTGGGGATGAACACCACGAGCATGGAGCTACAAGGAGCCAGGCGCTTCCTCACCACTCCCCCGTGTGATTTATAAGTCATGCCAACGGTGCTGCGCTCCAGCCTTAAGCATTGCACTAACACCACTGACACATTTGGCACGGTTAAGTAAAACCTACCTTAAGCTTTCCAGCTCTCGCTGTTTGTTTCATGCTGGCACTGTAATGCTGACAAAGGTACCTATTCAACCTGAAGTATCTGCCTCAGGGCTCCAGGTAGGGTTCCTTATTCTTTTAGTCTCTGTGGGCTGCAATTGTTTGTACCTGCCTTAACTCTGATGCTTTAGTTTTTTATGTAAAAGCTACAACCATTCACTAGCAATGCCTGCAGACAGATGATCTGTCCTCGAGCCCTCAAATTCCAGAAACCTTTCAATTACTCAGCAGCAGTTGTTTAAAACCTCTGAGCACTTGTACCTTGCCCCTTCTCCTACACAAATCAGTACCCAGAAGTTCTCCATTGGTCCTTCTTTAAGCTGCCTCAGCTCACACACACACACATTAGGCAAAGCAATGGGGTTAGACAGAGGATGCCAGATACCTGGCAACTCGCCTCCAGCAGGCCCCATAGGAATAAATGGCTTTGCTGCATGACCTTGAGCAAGTCACCTGCTCCTTCCTCGCCGCCTTCATTTCTCAGAGCTGGGCAGTAACGCACTTAAGTGCGCCGCCTGTCCTTCTAAAGCGCTCTCGGACGTCGGGCAAAGGACGGCAACGGTGACCCTCAGCCCCGAGCAAAACCACGAGCGCTCAGTCTGCCTTTACAACCGCGGAGAACTTTCCCGTTATGAAGGCTGGTCGCTGAGCTAGAATGCCCACGTCAGCTGTTAATTCTAACGGCGGCAAAGCAAACTCTCGCTTACTATTACCTGCTCCGAAGCACGGCACAGCCGAGCGCCCGTCACCCACAGGGCGGTGGGAAAGAGACACGGGGCTCTCCCTCCCCCGAGCGCTCCCGCTCGCCGCTCCGGGACCCTCCGCTCCCGGGCTGCGCTGCGGCACGTCTCGCCGCGTCCCGCCGGCGGCTGTAGCGGCTATCCGACCGTGCACCGCTTCACCACCGCCCGCCTGAGACTCCGGGGTGCTCCGCTCCCCGCCGGGGTCCCGGCAGGTGCCACCCAACCCGGCCCAGCCGCTCCCCAGCTCCGCGCGCCCCACGCCGCAGCCGCCCACTCGGCGCTCACCTCCTCGCCGTGCCGGGCTGCGCCGTGGCGCTCAGCGAGGGAGGCGCGGCCCGGCCCGGCCCCGGGCGCTCCCGCCGGAGGCAGCGGCGCGGCCGCACAATGCGGACACCCCGCCCGCCCGGCGGCGGCGGCGCCCTCCGCCCGCGGCGCTCTCCGCCCGCGGCGCTGCAGCGCCCCCTGCCGGCCCCACGGCGCCTCTGCGAAACCGTCTCCAGTACTGCCTTTCCTTCCCTCTTAGTGCTCACCAGTACCTCCCTGCACCCTGTATAAAGGTGTAAACCCAGTCCTTACAACGAAACAGCAAAGTGAAAGTGAGGCCGTTTCCCCACCGGCCTTCTGGTCAGCACCAGCTCTTCATGTGGCGTTCTTCTTCCATGCGCCCCAGCCTGCGTTATGGCAAAGGGAAACATTGTTATTTCAATTTGCAAATGGGGAAAATGAAGCATGTAATTGCATCAGTCCACTCGAGAGGTCAGAGCCAGGGATAAAGCTCTGAAGCAATAGGACAAAATTTACCGGACAACTTTTGCTTCCACGTTTATTAAACTATGCAGCGATGTAAAGATACATGAATAACAGATGTGAACCAGAGCTCAAAAGCACTTAAAGTTCAGTGGATGTTCCTCCCATGTTTCTGTTCCAGCCCATATCTGAATGAGAGACAAGGTGAGTAAAAGAAATAGCTCTCACCCCTCTCAGTGCAAAATTAAATGAAAGTTGGGTTGGAAAAGATGACCCCACGTCTCTACACAAGAGCACAAGCAGCATTTAGGAGGCATCAGCCCTGAGGAGAAATGAGCACCTACCATGCCCCACATACTGTGCCAGCTGTGGGCACTTGGGAGCAGATCCTAAAATAGTTGTACTGCATATCATTCAAAAGCAAAAAAATTAGAAGGCAGATGTGAAAGCAGTAGTGTGGTTTATGCTGTACTTGTTAAAAATAAATGCTGAAGCTTTAAGCCTTCATTCTTTGTTTGGTTTACATAATTTAGAGGGATTAGATTTTTCCATCCTCCTAAGAGAGCAACTGGTGAGTGTCTATTTTGCATGTGGGGAGATGTGTGCTAGTCTGGAGGCCTGACATTTGTTTTTGTCTATGGAATTCACCCTGCATGGGGCTGTCAAATTAAATACGATAACAGGCTTTTCCAAAGGAGCAGATAATTTATTGGTCATTAAAAACCCCAGTCGCTGTGCAATCTGCTTGCGATGAAGTCTCCTGGTGCCAGGGCATAAGAATTCAGCAAACACCAATCCTGGACACAGGCAAAGGTTTTGGACTGTTGAGACCCATAGGCCTGGTCCAGGACCACGTCCATTGCTGTTTGCTTCCTCTGGCCTCATGCATAATATTGATGGGTTTGGGTGTGCTTTTTTTCCCTTCCTAAAATGAGTTTTGAAATTCATTGGTTTTAGTTTTGTAAACCTTGGTCTTTTGCCATGCTTTGCCACAAGCATTGGTTTACCTGCAGCTGTGCCTGGCACCATGTTTTCTCACTGGCTTTGTCACTTGTGCTGATCCTGAAACATACTAATGGGTGTGATCTTTGCATGGGGAATGAGATAGAGAATCACAGAATCATAGAATCATACAATCACAGAATCGTTTGAGTTGGAAGGGACCTTTAAAGGTCCAACCCCCCTGCAGTGAACAGAGACACCCACAGGTAGATCAGGTTGCTCAGAATCCCTCCAGCCTAACCTTGAGTGTTTCCAGGGATGGAGTATCCACCACCTCTCTGGGCAACCTGATCCCACTTCCTTTGTGAAGACATCACATTAGCTTCCTGCAGGGTGGTAGAGCAGACTGGTGTGACATTACTGGCATGACAAACAGCATGTGAAGTTGGTGTGTAAACAGGAAAGGAGTGGTGATATTTTTCTACCAATCAGGAGATGACAGTGTTGCAGGTTTCAACAACTTTTGAAAGAAGATTTGGGCATGAAGTTTGATGGGACTCGTGAGAAAGGAAAAGATGACAAAGGTCTGATTTTACAAAGGCATCTAGGAGCTTGAGTTTCATAAAAACCAGTGTCACTTCATTCTCTGATCACCTTTGGTCATCTGAATCCAGATATTTACAAACTGCAGAGCAGATGACGCCAATGGTGGCATGACTGAGGAGACAGACTCTCCTAGTCTGAAGGTAAGGTTCCTGCAGTTGGTAAGGGATTATTGAGCTCAGGATTAATACCTTTGCTGCTGCATTAGAAGAACATCTCAGAACTGCAGCAAGGATTGCTCTAGAGCCATGCACACCTGGTCAGAGCTGGATGCTTGTCCTGAGCAGCAGCCCATCAGAGACTAGACTTACAGCCTTTTCTACCAGCATCCTCCCGAGAGCTGAGATGTTGCTTGATTACTGTTAGAAAAACTACAGAATAAATAACAAGTTAATACAAATATTTCTAGCTATTTCTGAAGGTTCAAAGAGAAACATTCTGATTCTTCTCTTCATTTTCACAGAATATCTTCCAAATGTTTCTGTGTTGGCTTCCAGCAATGTACATAAATCTGTTCAGTTATGCTAATCTAGTGCCATGAAAAAAAAAATGCAACTTTGTTGTTAGATTATGGGCACACTTTGTTGTTAGTCTGTAGTCATTATAATGCACTGCTGTTTTAAATTAATGTTGCCTTTGCTTATGTTTTCCCTTGTAGCTCATGAAACACCGAGTTTATAATGATGTGCTTCTCGAGTGCATGCTAAGGCTTTATAACTTCTCTCAACTCTTTTCCTACTATATATAAGAAAAATTAAACACTTTTGTTTTAAGATACAGACTTTATTGTTTAATAAGTGTTTATTTCTAATGTAGTAATTGAGACCACAATCCTGGAAACATTTGTCTGTGTTTATCCTACAGGAGCAGGCTTAATGAAGTAGCTAAGGAAGATACAGCTTCCCCTTTAGGATAACCTGGTGCCATACTAACTCTGTGCCACTTCACAGGAAAATATCTGTACAAGCACAAAATCCCTCACATACATCATTACTGTGTTTTTGTTGTTGTTGTTGTTGTATGTACAATTAGTTCAGGCTCTTGTGGAGATTTAAAAACCAAGCAGATATTGAATTTTGCTGAAATTCAGGCTATAGCAATCTCTAATCCGAAGCTCTGCAACAGTTTGTATTGATGTTGCAGCCACAAAGAGAGAAGCAGAATCTGGGTTTCAGCATTTTGCTTCATTTGGCTTCATGAGGTGCCAAAACAGAGCACTGGAGAGGGACAAGGCATGCTCTTCACAGCATCTTGTGGATCTCACACATGGAAATGCCTCTGTGCTGCTTTCTGACTCAGGTCTTCTATTTCAAACAATTAGCATGTTTGCAAAGAGATACGTAAATACATAGCTTGGGTTTTTTGCAGTAGCAAGATTTTTATAAGGTATGCTTCAAAGTGATAATGTGCATGCAACGTTGATAAGCATGGTCCAATGGGAGCTATGCTAGATTAGCAACGCATAAATTCATGTTTCGTAACACACGACAAATGGGTACTCTTCCAGTATTTGAAGGAGGCCTACAGAAAGGATAGGTAGGGACTCTTCATCAGGGAGTACAGTGACAGGACAAGAGTTAATGGCTTTAAGCTAGTAGAAGGTAGGTTTGGATTAGACATAAGGTAGATATTCGTTATGAGGCCCTGGCACAGGCTGAACCAGAGAAGCTGTGAGTGCCCCATTTCTGGAGTTTTCAGGGCCAGGTTGGATAAGGCCCTGGGCAGCCAGAGCTGCTGGGTGGCAGCCCTACCCACAGCACAGGAGTTGGAACCAGGTCTTAAAGTTCCCTTTCAACTCAAACCATTTTGTGAATTCTGTGATTCTGTTGCTCACATTAAAAGTCATAAATTCTGCTAATCTGTGTTTCTCCTCATCTGTGCTATTGACTAGTTTTCATCCTGTCAGTCTGCTTTTAAATTTGGGCAAGTTGTGACTACATACTCATTTGGAATACAGCAGTGATTGCACTGACCCCATCACAGTTTAGTCTTTTTTGTTCTTTGTTTAAGGTTTGTTTTTCTCATACTGTCACTTCTCCTTTCTCACTCATAGAGAGATCTTTTAATAGTTTTTTATTAAAAGAAAATTAATTAATGTATAACCCTAGAGAAAACAGGGTGACTGTAATTCTCTTGTACATATTCAGAATTATAACATACTTACATGCTTGAAAAAAAACCAAATAATTCCAGTTTCTACACTGAAGTAAGTTTGGACTAATAATTAAATCACCTAATAATATACTCTAAATCAACTAATAGTCGTCTAATAGAGAGATTTGTGTTATGGATTTAATAAAGTACAGTAACGGATTTAAAAACCTCTACTAACAGTTGCAACAAATTTTGCAACAAATGTGCAATACTAGACTTTATTAATGAATGAGTTACACTGATGTGTCATTTTAATTTCTTACAGATGTATTCATGTGCTTTGAAAAGACCAGTGGAAATTACCATAAATTCATTTGCTATCCATGTTAATGAATGCTAGCCCTTATTCTTCCTCAACGGTATTATGATTGCAATCTGGATTGCCGTAGGGACCCCACTGTAATTCATCATTGCTTCAGTGTTCAAATTCTCTGGTGGAACCAGATATTGGTGTCGACAACATCTGGAGTTTTCCATCTCTCATCTTTTTTCTACCTCCTTCCCTCTGTTTAATCAAGAGAATGGAAGAGGTAATTGCTGCCATCATTAATAATATGTTCAGGAATCTGAATGACTGAAAGGATTTTGGAGGATATTTAAACCTAGAGCGTAGTAGATACAGATTCGTTCTTGTCTCTTGTTTCTTTCCCAATGTAACCACCACCCAACAGAAAATGCTGAATGAGGGCTGGGAGAGACATCCCTAGTGCAGAGAGCCAGGCCCAGGCAAGTGCTCTGCTTTCAGCCCTGAGGCCTTGCTTGCATTGTGGCTCAGCTTCTATACAAAAGGTAGGCCTGTTCATAGAAGTAAGACTGAAGAATATTCGCTTTGAACACCCTGTAACATGCCCAGAGAGGCAGGGGGCCACACTTCAATCTCCCTCCCTGAATCCAAGCAGTAGATTTGTTGGGGTATGCCTCTTCAC